CAGTTTTGCATGTGATCTTATCTTTAGAACAATGAACAAATTCTTCCATACGTGAAGGAAGCAATTACGTACAGTCGATTCGCGTACAAGTTGATTCGAGCTCGGGTGAAATTGATAAACAAAGTTTTGGTTGCACAGGTTTTATTTTTTTCGCCCACGAATACTTATGTAAAATATTAAAGAAATAGACAGAAATAGTAAGAGCTCATTTATTAGATTTAGAAGATGGACTTCTCCGACTACTGATCTGATGTAGTTTGAAGTGCTGAAATGCCGAGTTTCAATTGTCTCGAAGATGTTTACATCATTTTCATTCAGCAAATGCGATACAAAAACTCGCATAAACAAAGGTCACACAAGTAGAAAGACACACTAATCAGTTCGAACAAACATTGAAACTTTTCAACTACGAAGAGAAAGTAAATTACGTGCATGATTTCTCTTCTCCTCGGCCAACAATCTGAATACTTCGTATAAACAGCTAAGCTCCTTTAAATATGAGCTTAGCTAGATAAAAATGTAGTCACAACGGTGGATTAAAAGCGTAAATCTGAGCAGAAATTAGGCACAACTTACATAATTCGCTTCCCCTTCACTTAAAGCAGGTGAATTGAAAACTTTCTTACGAAAAGACGGGATTCTTGAATCACCGAGACGGCAAAATACGAGCAAAATGTTCTCCGTAGTCCCGACTACGCGAAACAGCTCAACAACTCACCGTAGCCGCAGGACTACGCGGGAAAAATAAACAGTCACGTGGTTTTGATCATGCGCAGTAGCATGTTTAANTTTATTAGATTTAGAAGATGGACTTCTCCGACTACTGATCTGATGTAGTTTGAAGTGCTGAAATGCCGAGTTTCAATTGTCTCGAAGATGTTTACATCATTTTCATTCAGCAAATGCGATACAAAAACTCGCATAAACAAAGGTCACACAAGTAGAAAGACACACTAATCAGTTCGAACAAACATTGAAACTTTTCAACTACGAAGAGAAAGTAAATTACGTGCATGATTTCTCTTCTCCTCGGCCAACAATCTGAATACTTCGTATAAACAGCTAAGCTCCTTTAAATATGAGCTTAGCTAGATAAAAATGTAGTCACAACGGTGGATTAAAAGCGTAAATCTGAGCAGAAATTAGGCACAACTTACATAATTCGCTTCCCCTTCACTTAAAGCAGGTGAATTGAAAACTTTCTTACGAAAAGACGGGATTCTTGAATCACCGAGACGGCAAAATACGAGCAAAATGTTCTCCGTAGTCCCGACTACGCGAAACAGCTCAACAACTCACCGTAGCCGCAGGACTACGCGGGAAAAATAAACAGTCACGTGGTTTTGATCATGCGCAGTAGCATGTTTAACCGTAGTCGTAGTCCGTAGTCGCCGTATCTTAAACTCCCTATTAACGGCTAGCCGAAAGTAACATCTACTTTTTACTTTTCTTTTGATCCCCAGCGGCCCCACCAGTAACGGTCAACCCGAAAGTAGTAACACCGCGATTAGATGCATCCATAACTGTCTTTCGCCCTACATTTAGGGCCTCTTTTTTGTTAATATTGTCGCTTTGTTTATGTGGGTAGTAACGTGAATGAAGTGCTTACTTAAAACTAACTTCGCTTGTAGTGTATAGCCAATAAGTATATCGTCAACGGCGCTTTGCACAACTTGACCCAGAGCACGTGGTCCAGAACAGTTACGTTTGTCGTGGGAACATCATACACTCAATTAAAAACCCATTCACAATTGTTATTTCGATCACCCCCGCCCCCCCTGCGTTTCAGCTCTCTCAATCTGTTACACATCATATTAATATACCGCAACCACTATTTTAAAACTGCAATTAATCAAGGTCAAACATAAGTCCTCTGCGCCTCGTGATTCAGTTAGTAAACAAGGACTAAAAAAGCGATAGATTGTTAGTGGTGGAAAGGAATGGAAAGTATGATCAGGGTAAGTCGAACTTAGTTTCAATAATTTCCTTTTAATATTAACAGCTGTCCTTCCAATACGGATTGATTGTGAGGAAATGGTAACCCTTGGCGAACTAGACGCATCTACAAGAATGGAAACCCAAACTGCGCGTATATCGTTCAACTCGAATGAACTGCAGACCGTAGCCACAGCATGTCTACAAAAGGAGGCCAGAGAGGTATTAGCCCCAGTTGAATCTCAGGAAGAAGTCCAGGGGGCGGCAGTAGTACCTGGTACCTCAGAAACACCCAGAGCGGAGATTACGTCTGGTCGTAAGCGAAAAAATATCGAAAATAGAGCTGTTCACCCCTCACAGGGACTTCTGAATTTCATTGCGATAAAATACTTGAAGAAAGTTGATCCATCAATACCGGAGGAGTCTAACGGGTTTGTTCAGTACATTGAAAGGGGGCGTAAAGCTCTTATTTTGCATGTTACCAGTGGCAGCTTAATAGTCATAGTAGAATGTAGCTCTCTTGAGATCCTGGAAAGACTGTGGGAAGACTATAGCACAGGTTGTCTTAACGAAATGGCGCAAAAGTTCCTTGTGACAGAGGAACTTCTTAAGGCGTTTGGTCTAGCTAAAGTTAAACTCACGACTACTATAAAAGAGGAGGAATACAGAGCTTGTCACAAGCTTCTCTCGAAAATTAAAGGTATGTTTATGGGCCATCGTAATCAGAGTTAAATCGTTGACTGAGAGTCTGCGGGGTACTCACTGATTGTAACTGCATGACTGAGGGAGAAAAACAAGATATATTGGCTGGTTAAAAATTAACAAATGAAACTGCAGCTATAGTGAAAATTTAGATTTTTTCTTTTGTTTGTCTACTTGGCTTGATGATAGATAGATGTTGATAATCAAACGCTGAATAATTACGATTTTAGAAAAATACAGTTCATTTGAAATTTGAAATTTGAATTTTTTTATCATGTTATGTTTTTCGCTATTTCCATTCATTCATAACACTTCGTTTATATTTTGCCCCAACATCTTTTGTTGCTTGTTTGGCAGTGATGAGCATTAATGAAACCGACTAGGTAGCCATGCCCACAACGCAGAAAATGTAGCTTCCACTCGCAGTGTACGTTATGTCTAGAACGAAAAAAAGGGGGAGACGAACGATGATGCTGACACATATCTGAAACGATTTGCATTATAGCGTTCGGGTCTTGCATTCAACGCCTTCACTAAAAAACGAGAATATGCAAGGGGGAGGTTAACCCTGGCCGTTTGTATCTGACCAGTCGAGATCCACGTACTTAGCTTTTTTAGCGGGGAGATCAACTTTCTGGACCGACACAAATCTTCAGTTGTATGACAAACAGTCTTAAAAGCGGTTTCTTTACGTCGTGTTAATGGTGTTAATAGGCTGATTTAGCAACAGAACAGGAACGTCAGTTGACGACGGCGCGCGCAAATCAAATAACTGGCTTAACCGATGGCAGAGGGGCAAATTGGGCACCGGACGTCGTGTTTAGTTCTTTCCACGCGCTTTCCCGTCGTCAACTGACGTTCCCGTGCTGTTGCTAAATCATCCTAATGACACTCGCAGGTCAAATTTAAAGCCCCTCTTAGGCGTGACGCGACAGATAGTTATGGCAAGCAAAGTCTGCAGAAGCAGTCCGAATGGAATCGTGCAGGATTAAAGCCACAAAATTGTGTTTTTATTGTTTCGAGTTAAGATCTACATCTCTGTGCTCCATGCTTTGTGGCAAACGACGATAGATCGATCAACTACCGCCTTATGATTTCACGTTTCTTATATAAAATACAGCTTCGCGAGCGTCCCTCGGGCCTTCGGCGCTCATGCAGTCGACTTGTGGCAAGTCTAAACTGAACTGAACAACTTTATTAATTAACGATTCACACGCTTAAGTTGGCTACACGTAGCCTACTTTTGGGAAACCTACTTATTAAAATCTAAAGTATAAGATTACATTTGGTTTATATTTGCAATAAAAATGACAATTACAATTTTCTTGCATTACTCATAGTAATCAAAGACTATGTAGCTCATTCTCTTTTGGTAAAAGATTAAATAAAATGCAGTATAAAACATACAAGTCCGTCCAAATACTTGTAAAAAAAGTGTCTAATATATAGATAGATTTAACCAAGCCTAACAGCGAGGCTTCTGTTTAAAAACTAATTAAATAAAGTGTTTTCTTTTTTTGTTTTGCTTTGCTTTTTTAGTAACGATATAACTTGTGACTGTGACCTACTGGTTTGTATTCCATCAGGTCCTGAGCAAGGAGGGGTTAAAGATGCTAGTGATCTTTCATCTGGGGTGTTCACAGAATCTTGTACAAGTGAGCAAGCTCATCATGACCAAGCTGGTAAGATACAGTTGTATTTATAAATACTTTTGTCTAATATATAGATAGATTTAACCAAGCCTAACAGCGAGGCTTCTGTTTAAAAACTAATTAATCAATTTAATTTAAGGTATTATGCCACTTATTTTGAGGTTCTATTCAACTTCAGCTAAAGCGGCATTCACAGAAAAAAGCGGGACCTTAATTGCACAATATTCATTAAAGACAATCAAAACGTGAATAATTTTTCAACAACAACAACAGTTTTTCTTCAAGGAGGCGAATCTTATTTCAAACCTTGTTCCCTTTGTTGCAGTACAAGTATTTTAGCCGGCTTTGTGTTTGAAATAGCGAATACTAGATAAACATACCTCGAAGCAGGTCGTTCGCTTAAAGCTTTTTTTTTACAAGCGGAAACGACAACAGGAATTGATTGTAGATATGCTTTTTTTCTTGATTTATAACAATAACAATAACATTTATTATTTGTATTGCGCCTTTTCTATAAAATATTCAAAAGCGCATCACAATAGTAATTAATAACTAAATTTTACAAATTTTTCTATCAAAATCATAAAAAATATTTACATTAAATGAGTAAAAGATAATTACAAATAAAGATATAGAAGTATAGATATAGTAAGATAACTGAAATGATTCCTGAAATAAAAATGTCTGAATTAAAGTCTTAAAAGATTCTAAGTTCGTTGCTTCGCGCGCGGACCTTGGCAGCTTATTCCATAGGAAAGGAGCAGCTACCTGGAAAGCTCTGTCTCCCAATGTTTTCTTGGTTTTCACACTTGGTCTTTCCAACAAACGACCATTGTCGTTGCGCCTCAAATGGTAGGACGAAGGCTGTCGAATACTAATTAAATCTGAAAGGTACTTAGGTGATAGGCCATGCAAAATTTTAAAAGTTATCAAGAGTATCTTATAATGTATCCTGGAGCGCACTGGTAACTAATGTAATTCTGCGAGTAGAGGTGTTATATGACAGAACTTGTGCGCACGATATATAAGTCTTGCACTCGCATTCATAACACGTCATAGTCTGATATTCCGGGATTCCATACAGAAGGCTATTACAATAATCCAATCTACTACTGATAAAAGCATAAACTAATTTCTCAGTTGATTAAAATAACCACCTAATTCCGATTAAAAAATCCATTTCAATTAAAAAAAAAGTTATTCGAATACTAATGACAACAATGCTAACTATTAAAATCCTATTTACAATTAATTCGCTTAAAAAAGAAGAAAAAAAAACTATTCATTCAAAACACTATTGACAATTCCTGTCGATTTAATTTAGCTTAGAAAGAGTTAATTTAACTAAGAAAAATTATGTAAATTTAAAAATCAAGTATTACTAAGAAAAAAAAACTATTAAAGATCTAGGCCTAAAATTATGAATACAGATGTAGACCGGCTACAGCGTGAGAGAAGTCTTCTGAGACCTCACGTGATTTGAATGGATATCTAGAACCTCTGACGCATCTGTGTACAGTTCTTAATATTGCAAATTTCTCAGTTCATTCTCTGGATAAATATTCCCTAATATGACGTGTATTGTATAAATAATAGAGAGCGTTGCTACAAGTCTTTGTAATGTGAGTTCCCATATCTAGATGCGTATCGAACCATGTGCCTAAATTGCGCGCAGAGGCTTTGGATTGAAACTTTTGAGAGCTGCTGACGAGTACCTATAATCAGGAACTCAGTCTTGTCATCATTGAGCATCAGCTGATCCTCCCTCATCCATGCTCGGACATCGAAGATGCACTTCTGCATGGCTGATACAGCTTCGACTTCACTGGAAGAGTCAGAGGGCTTAAATGACAAATACAACTGTGTATCGTCAGCATAAGTATGAACGGAGGGCAGATGGTGTTTTAGAATCTGGAACAGCTTACTCACGTAGATGGTAAATAAAAGCGGGCCCAGGCACGACCCTTGAGGAACGCCACACTTCAAATCAAACGGCTTTGAGAGAGCTCCGTTGATAGACACTTGCTGCGATCTGCCCTTAAGGTAACTCTCAAACCATGAAAGTACTTCCCCCCGCAATCGAATTGTTGACCTCAATCGTTCCAGAAGGATCTCATGTTCGACGGTGTGAATGCAGACCTTACGTCGAGAAGCACCAGCAGCGTAACTTGACCTTTATCCATCGCCATTAGGAGATCGTTCTTCACCTTGAGTAGTGCGGTCTCAGTGCTATGATGTTGGCGGTAAGCACTTTGCAATTCTGGAAACAAGCCATTGACTAGCATGTGCTCCTGTAATTGTACTGCAACCGCTTTCTCTCTGAGTTTGGACGTGAACTGTAAATTACTCACAGGCCGAAAGTTCTTGTTTATCAATTGAAGACCAGATTTTTTGAGCAGAGGATGTACTACTGCCCTTTTCCAGTCATCTGCAAAGTAGCCATGCTCTAGTGATACGTTCACCATCATACTAATCACTGGAAGTAACTCCTCTATGCAAACCAGCAAGATGGATGATGGAAGAGGGTCCAGAGTACATGTCTTCATAGAAGCCACAGACATCTTTCTTACAGCCTCTTCGGAGAGAGGCTGAAACTCTGATAGCGTGACAAGGTCATCACTACTCGATGAACCGTGAGGCGCCCGCTCAGTAACCGCAGGAGAGACCCTGTCACCATGCATCTAGCTTTGATCTAATAGCCACTATTTTATGGATGAAGTATTCACCCACCTCATTTGCAAGAACAGAGGCGTCAGTGTGAGGTGGGAGAGACTTGTCCGTTTGCAAATTTAGTAGGTTCTTGCTAGCCCGGAACAGCTTTGATTGGTCCGAACTGTTCTCGTCAATGAATTCCTTGTAATAAGTACATCTAACTTCATTCATCAAATGTATGACACAATTTCGCTTAGCTTTAAACACTACAAGATCTGCTTGGAGACCACTTGCCCTCCATCTTCTTTCGGCCTTCCTCCTGTCCCTACGAGCCTGAACTATGTCTTCATTGAACCATGGGGGCCTGGGTCGAGTGGAGACACGACGAGAACAAACGGGCACGTGATCATCTAATAGTGATCTTAAAGTAGTGTTATAACAGTCGAGAAGCATGTTCAAATCATTAGGTGGGTCTTGATATAGCTGAGAATTGCGGATATCTTCTTTCAGTTTAGTTATATCAATTGATTTGAGTTTCCTGTATTCAGCATGTTTAATTCTTAGCGGAGGCTTCGCCACACAGCTTACATATCACGGCAGCATGGTCAGAGAAATATCTCCCAGGAAGGGACTCACTCATATCGTCAGCCTGCCGTGTGATAATTAAGTCTAAGGTGTGGCCATGTATGTGCGTGGGTCGTTTGACATGCTGTACCAGACCCATAGAGTTCAACAGGTCCTTGAGCCGGATGGTGTCAGCGTCTGATGGAACGTCCATATGAATGTTAAAATCACCACATATTAACAGTAACTCATTACACATGACTAACGACTCGAGATAGACTGAGAATTCATGAAAGGAAACACTCGTAGTCACGGGTTGCTCCGCAGAGTATGTTGGCCTATACACGATGACAACACGCAGACGAACAGATCCAAACACCACAAGCCATTCCGACACTTCAAACGAAGATCGCTCGGCTGAAAACACTTTGTTTACATCCAGACCGTCCCGATATAATAGCGCAGTCCCGCCACTCCTACGATCAGCACGAGGACAGTGGTAGAGCTTCGAATAACCGGGAAGAGTGAACTCACTTAAAATCGCAGAGTCAAGATCATGGAGCCAGGACTCGCATATCGTAAACAACTCAGCCCTCAAATCACATACCAAGTCCACAAAAGCCGTTGATTTATTTCTTAATGATCTTGCATTCAAACTGCCAACTGGAATGCCCTGTTGTCCTGTTGTTCAAGAATTGGCGTGTTGAAATGCTTTGTTGTTGGCGCTCTCTTAACTGTATTAAGATTCGAGTGGTTGCTTGTTCTGGTGGACAATAGGACGCGACGACGTGTAACGGAACAATGAACGTGAATGGTTGATTGATCGCCCGTGGGACCGGGATTTAGTTTAAATACCAGGTCGCCTTGGAGTAGGCATTGGAATGTCGCGGTCGAATTGGAGTAATATGCACACCGGCATTTGCTTCGCTTGATCTTGATACGAGATGCACAACATTCCAGGTTATCACGGATGACAAAGCGGCTCTCCGACACAACACCAGATAACAATAGCTGTGGTCACACCACAGACTTTTTACCTAGGTAAACACGACTTGTTGACAGTTTACCCAGGGTAACTTGATTTTTTAAGTGTGACCGATTTTTTCCTAGGTAACTTACCTCGGAGAAATTTTATCCTCTGGGTCTTGGATATGTCTTGAAAACAATAGAGTTTACCTTGACAGCTACCCCAAAGCAATAGCTAGGGAAAAATGAAATACCGAGGTTGCTAGCCAATAGACGCTCATCGGCGAAGGTCTTGATGACAGAACCGGACATAGATCACGCTCTGAAATAAATTTTGGGAGCACGAGTCCTCTACGTCTTCGCCTTTCTTCACCTTGCACGTTGACTTAGCGAAAGAAATAACAGCGAGATAAAAGAAAAAAAACGTCTCTTTGATCAGCTAGATCCCTGCGCATTTTGCCTTCTTGGGAGGCGATATCAGTAGTGTGACCTTCCCAGAATTTTTACCTAGGTAAAACAAAACCCGAGATGAATTTACCTCGGGAGATTTTTGATGAATTTGCCCTAGGTAAATCGGTTTTACCTAGGTAAACGTCTCTAGTGTGACCACAGCTAATGGCTCATTAGCCCCATTGTCCTTCAAACTAGCTCTACTAGTTCGATATTACCCTAGATGGAACAAAAATGCAGGGCTTCCGGCTGGTTACCTCTCATCACAAGAAGTTCTGAATTTCATTTCGTCAAAATACTTGCAGAAAGTTGATCCATCAACACCAGAGGAGTTTAACGGGTTTGTTGAGTACATTGAAAGGGTGCGTAACGCTCTTATTGTGGATGTTACCAGTGGAAGTTTAATTGTCATGGTAGAATGTAGCTCTCTTGAGATCCTGGAAGGACTGTGGGAAGACTATAGCACAGGTTGTCTTAACGAAATGGCACAAAAATTCCTTGTGACAGAGGAACTTCTTAGAACGTTTGGTCTAGCTAAAATTAAAATCACGAGTACTATAAAAGAAGAGCAATACAGAGCTTGTCACAATTAAGCTTCTCTCGAAAATTGCAGGTATGTTGATGGGCCATCTTAATCAGAGTGAAATCATTGACTGAGAGTCTGCGGGATACTCATATTGATTGTAACTGCCGCCTGAGGGAGAGAATTCACCAAAATTTACAAATGAAACTGCAACGGTGGTGAAATTTAGAATTTGCTCTTATTTGCCTATTTGGCTTGATGATACAGTAGATGATGATAACCAAACGTTGAATAATTATGATTTTAGAAAAATACAGTTCCTTTGAAATTTTTAAATGTTTTTATCATGTTATATCTGGAATCGGTTCAACAAGTTTTTAGCTATTTTAATTTCCATTCATTCATAAGACTTCGTTATCTTTTAGCCTAACATCTTATCTTTCTTGTTTGGCAGTAATAAACATTAATAAAATTAACCAGGTAGCCACGCCCACATCGCAAAAATGAAGCCTCCGCTCGTAGTTTACGTTTTATTTAGAGCGCAAAAAAGGGGGGGAGGGATCTGAATGCAGTAAAGGATTAACATTATAGCTTTCAGGCCCTGCGTTCAACTAAAAAACAAGAACAAGCAAGGTAAGGCTCTCTCTAAGCCCGTCGCAATACCTGACGAGTCGAGATCAACTTCCTGGACCGACACAAATCTTCGGTTGAGTGACAAACAGTCTTAAAACCGATTTCTTTACATCGTGCTAATGACATTCTCGTAGGTCAAATTTAAAGTCCCTCTTAGGCGTGGCTCGACAGATAATTATGGCAATCTAAGTCTTCAGAAGCAGTCCGAATGGAGTAAGGGTTTCTCGTGGAGGATTTAAAAACCACGGAATTGTATTTTTATTTGTTTCGAGTTAAGATCTACACACCTGTGCTCTATCCTTTGTTGCAAACTATGATAGATCAAGGACCGCGCGCGTTATGATTTTAACGTTCTCAAAATTCAGCTTCGCGAGCGTCCCTCGCGCTTTCGGCGCTCACGCAGTCGTCTTGTGGCAAGTCTATACTGAACTGAACTAACCAACTTCATTAACGTTTCGCACGCTTTCAGATGGCTACACGTGGCCTATATTTAGGACACCTAATTGTTAAAGTCTAAAGTATAAGATTACATTCGGTTTAATATTTACAATAGAAATGACAATTACAATTTTTGCCTTACTTATAGGAAACAAAGACTTTATAACTCATTCTCTCCTGGTAAAGGATTAAATAAAATGCATTAAAAAACATACAAGTCCGTCCAAATACTTGAAAATAAAGCGGGAAGCGAATCGAGTAAAGCAAGTGGTTGAGCCCGCATTGCAATGGACAGCTGTGTTGATGAGCCGCACGAAAGCGAGGCAGAAGCTGGGAATGTTGAATGAATGAATGAATGAATGTTTTTACGCGAGCATTCACCCGTCAAAATTTTGACCATTCGGAAACTAGACTGGTCCTGGAGCGCGACCAAAGCGTGACGAAACTAAAAACAATGCCTTTAAATTTTATTCTTGAAGGTTTGTCTTAGACAAACACAAGAAACGTCAACTTTTTTAGTAGCCTCTAAACTGATTAACTTTTCGCCAAGACAAACCATTGCACTCCCCTCAAAGAGTCTCCCCTTTTGCCTCACCCACAGTCTGTACGCGCGGACGGTGTTACGCTGACTTCATAACCAGATGTTCTGGCATCCATAGGTTTCAAATTTCTATTCCAATGGGGCTGCGCTTCGAGGAGGCCACATCAACTTTTTAATACCTAAAAGTGCCTTTTACCACGGTCAGTTTTACGTAAAGAGTGTACATTCACCTGCAGATCAGGCATGAAACACGCCAAAAACTACTGTCTTTAGGCTATTTTATCTGAAGGAGTGCTACACCACCATGTAGTACAAAACTCAATACATGTGGTAATAAAATGCCAAGTCATATCTTCAGTTAATAAAACATTGTACTTCAGGTAATTTGAATTTTTAAGTATCTAAAAAATTTTGTCTTTGATGGCATAAGCCAGCATACCAGAGAACCGCAATAACAGGTTTTAATCCATCGTAGATCGAGCTTTATTTTCGTGGACTGAAGATTGATACCTCCCTCACTTACTCCGTAAGATCAAAATGAGTGAAACTCCCCTGTTTCTTAAGCTTAGGGTAACTTTAGGTGTGCAAATCTCTGAAATTGGCGTGCGACAGAAAAAACNCCCCCCCCCCCCCTCCATCGGCAACAATAAAAAAACTAATGAACTAAATTGGCTGTTATTATTTTCCAATTGTAGATTCTTTGTACCCAACGGATGCCATAGAAAAGGTTCGTCAGCTCTACAGAACACGTGAACAACGCCTCTTACCCGTCTCTTGGTTAGAAGATTCTAGCTTTCATATGAATGATATTTTTACGAGATTAAAGATCGTTGGAAAAGAAAAAACCAAAGGAGTACTTACTCATGATATAACCAATATGTCTGCAGTCTTTAAAGCGCGCCGCGACTGCCAAAGACCGAGAACAGTCTTGATCGAGGGAGGTTCTGGTATGGGAAAAACCACGTACTGTCAAAAACTGGCGTATGACTGGGCAGCTAAGCAAGACGAATTGAACCCGTCCTTTCCAAAGATTGAAGTGCTTCTACTTCTCAAATGTCTCGAAATGAAGTCTGACATCTGGGAAGCTATTGATGATCAAGTTCTCCCCGAGGAAATGGATAATGAAACTAAGGAATGCTTCTTTAAATTCATTCGTGAAAATCAGTCCAAGGTTCTGTTAGTGCTAGATGGACTAGACGAAGCGGATCCTAGAAACCACAAAATGTTTTATAACCTTCTTGAAGGTAAAGAACTTGCAAGTTGTTACATTGTTCTCACGTCTCTTCATGAGGCTGGAAGGAATGCAAGGCGGTACTGTGACATTCTTTGGGAGATTGTAGGATTTACCCGAAAGGATACAGAAAGCTTTATTCATAAATACTTTAAAAACGTCAACAAAGAGCACTTGGCCATGAAGCTTATGGAAATGGTATGGGCTGATCCCTGGTTAATTGAGTCTGAAAAACCTCAAAATCTGCCCGATTTGACAACAAATCCGTTAAACACTGCTTTGCTTTGTGTTATCTGGGAGGATTTAAAAGGCGTGTTCCCAACGAGCAGAACTGAATTGTACACTGAGATTGTTCTTCTTGTTTTGGAAAGATATGAACAAAAGCAAGGACTATCGAGCGACAGTAAAGACCTCTTGTCCGTCTACAATAAAGACTTGATATATCTCGGAAGAATGGCGTTCGAGTCTCTTCAAAACGGAGGGTTGTGTTTTGAAGAACATCAATCAGGCGGTGGCTGCATCGTCTTATCCAAGATGGGATTCCTTTCACTTCAGCCTGCTGGCAGTAAGAGGAGAGTTCGTGCGCGTTACGCATTTCCTCATAAGAGCTTTCAAGAATTCTTTTCTGGTTTCTTTCTTGCTGGAAAACTTATTGAAGGAAAAATGAGCTGCGAGTCAGTGGTGACTGATCAAAGATATGAGAGCGAACTATATCAAGTATTTGTATTCTTGATAGGAATATTGGTGTCAAAAAGTAAGAAAACTGCAGAATCTCTCGTTAAAAGCGTGGCTGCAAATATCAATTTCACAAGTCTTAAGTTAGACACAGACGCAGCTAATGACGTTTCAAAACGTGTATTATTTGCTGTAAGAAGTCTATCTGAGAACGCAAGTTTACTTCAAACCTTATGGGAGCACCTTAACTTTACTCAGTTAAAGCTGAGGGAGAGCCAGGTTAACGATTCTGGTGTTGCGTCTCTTTCCCAGATTCTTGCAGTCTACTCCTCCTTAACTAATTTGGATTTGAGTAAAAACTCCATTGATGCTTCTGGTGCCGCATCTCTTTCCCACGGTCTTGCAGTCAACTCCTGCTTAACTGAGCTTGATTTGAGTGGGAACCGTATTCATGGTTCTGGTGCTGCATCTCTTTCCCAGGCTCTTGCAGTCAACTCCTCCTTAACTAATTTGAATTTGAGTACCAACTCAATTAAATGTCGTGGTGCTGCATCTCTTTCCCAGGCTCTTGCAGTCAACTCCTCCTTAACTAATCTGAATTTGGAATTAAACAGTGTTGGTGATTCTGGTGCTGCATCTCTTTCCCAGGCTCTTGCAGTCAACTCCTCCTTAACTAATTTGAATTTGAGAACCAACTCAATTAAATGTCCTGGTGCTGCATCTCTTTCCCAGGCTCTTGCAGTCAACTCCTCCTTAACTAAACTGGATTTGAGTTGGAACAGTATTGGTGATTCTGGTGCTGCATCTCTTTCCCAGGCTCTTGCAGTCAACTCCTCCTTAACTAATCTGGATTTAAGATCGAACAACATTGGTGATTCTGGTGCTGCATCTCTTTCCCAGGGTCTTGCAGTCAACTCCTCCTTAACTAATTTGGATTTGAGTTGTAACAGCATTGATGATTCTGGTTCTGCATCTCTTTTCCTGGCTCTTGCAGTCAACTCCTCCTTAACTAAGCTGGATTTGAGTTGGAACAGTATTGGTAACTCTGGTGCTGCACCTATTTCCCAGGGTCTTGCAGTCAACTCTTCCTTAACTGAGCTTGATTTGAGTATTAACCAAATTGGTGACTCTGGTGCTGCATCTGTTTCCCAGGGTCTTGCAAGCAACTCCTCCTTAACTAAGCTGGATTTAAGTTGGAACAGAATTGGTGAATCTGGTGCTGCATCTATTTCCCAGGGTCTTGCAGGCATTTCCTCCTTAACTAAGCTGGATTTGAGTGGGAACCGCGTTGGTGATTCTGGTGCTGCATCTCTTTCCCAGGGTCTTGCAGTCAACTCCTCCTTAACTAAGCTGGATTTGAGTTGGAACAGCATTGGTGATTCTGGTGCTGCATCTATTTCCCAGGGTCTTGCAGTCAACTCCTCCTTAACTAAGCTGGATTTGAGTCGAAACAGCATTGGTGATTCTGGTGCTGCATGTCTTTCCCAGGCTCTTGCAGTCAACTCCTCCTTAACTAAGCTGGATTTGAGTGGGAACCGCATTGGTGATTCTGGTGCTGCATCTCTTTCCCAGGGTCTTGCAGTCAACTCCTCCTTAACTAAGCTGGATTTGAGTGGGAACAGCATTGGTGATTCTGGTGCTGCATGTCTTTCCCAGGGTCTTGCAGTCAACTCCTCCTTAACTAAGCTGGATTTGAGTGGGAACAGCATTGGTGATTCTGGTGCTGCATCTCTTTCCCAGGGTCTTGCAGTCAACTCCTCCTTAACTAAGCTGAATTTGAGAGTGAGCAGCATTGGTGATACTGGTGCTGCATCTCTTTCCCAGGCTCTTGCAGTCAACTCCTCTTTAACTAATTTGGATTTGAGTGGGAATCATATTGGTGATTCTGGTGCTGCTTCTCTTTCTAAGGCTCTTGCAGTCAACTCCTCCTTAACTAAGCTGGATTTGAGTCGGAACCGCATTGGTGATTCTGGTGCTGCAGCTCTTTCCCAGGCTCTCGCAGTCAAGTCCTCCTTAACTGAGCTGGATTTGAGTGAGAACAGTATTAGTGATTCTGGTGCTGCTGAATTGCCCAATGTGTATACGGTAAATACAACTGCTGAACTATGTTTTGCTTGAGCATGATTATGATGATAAATTGACGATCAGGATGATTATAATAATGATGCGGAGGAGGAGGAAGATCAAGAAAAGTATGTAAATAAGTAACGTTAAAATGAGGAACATTGTAATGATAATTGTTCTTGTATTTACGAGAATAATAATTGTAAGTGAAGGACAATCAAACGGATCGTCTTTGGAGAACTCGTTTTGAATCCCCAATAGAACCTTTTGTAATTTGTACTCTAACTGCACTGATATTGTTATGTTACATTTATCATAACATTGAAAGCAAAGTTACTCAACTCTGATTTGTTAGCGTTGACGCCATTTTTTCCCTCAATTTTAGCAATGAACAAGACGCAATAGTTCAATGATACAAGCATTTAAATTTCTCGCATCTGATCGCCTAGTAAGTGGTTAGTTCATGCCGTAAGTTTGCTTAGCGAGGTTTTGAATGAAAGTTGCAAAAGTGTCAGTGCAGAATTTCATAGAAGAGAGCTGGAAGTTATTTGATCTAAAGGCTAAAAAGAGATATCCTGTTTTGAGCGTCTTACGCTAACAGAACAAGATTATTCGTTTATTTGCGTATTTTTTGTTTAAACCAATAGGAAACGGAGAAATATTTTAAAATACAAAAAAAAGTTTCAATTTTGCTCAGCCTCAAAAGATGACCACACTTTTCAAGTTTTATTTTACAATAACAGTCGAACGTCAATCAAGCAGTCACTCTTATTTCAAGGAAGGCCAATTGGCCTCTTAATTGAGGTCTAGCTTTCAGTGATAAATTATTTATTGACGCTTTTGATGACTAGCCGCTAGGTCGAGGAAGGCTGTTTGATATAGTTTCGACTGTAACTTACATGTAGCGTGTCTTTATGTGATCCCTCACTTAGGGACCGGTCATTATTTATCGCCTGGGGGGGGTCGGAGGATTTTGGGCTAAACACGATGAAATTTAGCCGATCCCCCCTTTAAATGTTATTTTATTGAAGTGATCCCCCCTCATAACTATATATAACTTTCGTGATCCCCCCCCCATGTCTTTGTACCCATATTCACCTTTCGACGTGTATATTTAGTGTTTTAAACGTTCATATACAGGTAGTATTTCTAACTATGATGTACTTACAGCATAATAAAGCCGTTATCGCGCAGTCTTTTTTTAAAAGTGTCTCTTGATCCGTGTCTTTTTCTAGTCTGGATCCAGACATCTGAATTCAGTTGACATACAAGCAATCTTGCTTAAAACTGCAAAGTGCTTGAAACTGCAATCAGTGCTTGAAACTGCAAAGTTACTTTTTTTAGAGTGCCAAATAGCAGTCCGCCAAGTCCCTATCAGCAGGTCATATTTAGCGACAATTTTCAGAGGACCACACTCTAAAGTCATTTGCAGGCGATGAGTTGGCCTATTTAGAAGAAGCACATAGGCGAATCACTACACTGCACGAGGAACTTCAGTCCGCATCCAACAAGTTGACAACAGCGCATATTAACCTGTCAAAGAAGTTTCCTTTGTGCGCGAGAAAATCAACAATGTCAAGAAGAAAGAAGGAAAATAAGAGGAAGGTCCGAAAAACCAAGGACAAGCGACTCAAGCAGAGGGCACGTCATCTCTTAGGAAACTTGACCTCAATCGAGGTCGCGGGGCAAATTTTCGGTTCAATCGAAGAGAATGATAGAGTTACTCCTGTAGATAGCATCAATGCTGACTTTGCTAAGAAACTAACAAGGCGTTTGCATCTAGACCCTTTGCTATGGCTACTAGAAAAGGGTATTTTTAGCACGACCCTAGCAAAAAATCTAGAGCAAGTAGCGGCCATTTTAAGGGCACAAAGTCCAGGGTCAACCTGCCGAAGGGGACTAAATGTTGCTGTTGAATCGGATGACGAGGCTCAAGAGGCAAATGAAGTTGTTGAATGGGATGATGAGGCTCAAGATGAGGCAGATGAAGCAGTTGAATCGAATTTAGTATAGAGGTGACACAGGACGCCCATTCCTGGAGAGGCGATAAATGGTTTATGTTTAAACAAACACGCTTTTTACAATGTTTCAGTTATCAGAAGTTTATATAGTTCACAATTTAGAATTCACCTGTCATGTTTAAAGATGAATATTAGCTAAGTCATGAGCACGTTATAAAAGGAAAATATAAAAGCGTTAAAACAAAGCTTTCTCGATATAAATTGAAATGCACACATTCGCCAGTGTGACAGACTTCCGTTTTTTAAATAAAGTTGTGTTAGAACAAATTGAGATTGCAAATGCTATCATCTCCCAGCAGAATGGGCACATTTATGTTGTATGCTTTCAAACTGGCATTGTTCAAGCAGATTTGAGTAATCCCCCCTCTGAATCCTTCCAAAATTTTCAGTGATCCCCCCCTTTTGGGCTCTCAGTTACGACTGATCCCCCCCTCTGTTCTCCTAAAACTCAAGTGATCCCCCCCAAAATCCTCCGACCCCCCCCAGGTGATAAGTAATGACCGGTCCCTTAGTACCAACTGCTCTTACACCCACACGTGTTAATTAAGACTATTGTTTTATTTGTAATCGTTGTTGCTGTTGGTTTTCGTATTCAGCTGATAGTATTTGTGTCCTTATCTCTGCCCAGGTGCCAAAAAGACTGACGTCGTTGTAAATGAGAAGTAGCAATGTCACTCCCAACAACTATGTCCAGCTAATGTGGGCTGTCTATGTCTCGTATTGAGCCGGGTGTCTGGGTATTTTAATCCATTAACTCTATTTATTTCGGTCAATTACAAACTCTAAAAGTGATTCTGAGTCCTGCATAAGTTATCAGAAATACGAGCGTTAGTGCCAGGTCTCTATCAAATGACAAAGCTTGCACATTTTCGACCCGCGATCACACCCAAACATGAGAAATTATCACTTGCGGTTGCTCCAAAGCCAACGTGAAAAGGGTACTTAAATGGGAAAACCGAAAAGTTTCCTTTGGAAAATCGAATGTTCCTCCCGTTTTGTCAAGTTAGGAAGTTCTAGAAAAAAAGGGTTGTGTCCGTCTTATTAGGTAACGCGATTTCTATGCCCTTTTTAGTCGATCTCTCCAGCTGATTTGAATGTACTTTTAAGCTGGTCCTTCATCCGCAAGCTCAAATTTAATTATTGTTCAATGTACGTTGTGCCCAAGAATTTCGATGAGGCGGAAGATTTGTGTAAACGTACGTTAGGACCCCTGATCTGCCTGATCGCAGATTAATTCCGCAGGTCACACGAATTACCCAATTGTTTTCTCCCTTCGCGGCGCACTAAAAAAATCCCTTAGCTTATGATAGCTCAGAATCAATGTCACTACAAAGAAAGGTGGCTAGCCCTTTATAGCATGATTTACTGAACCGATGCTACACCACATGTTTCTTTATGGGCGGCCGTTACAACCAAAAATACAGTCATGTCAAATAACACAGAGAAAACGCAAATGGTCTAGTCACTATGACGAATTACAAAATGGTTCAAATAACAAAGAAATGATCATTCTTAGAATAAAATAATCTGGTTGTTTTGTGTGAAATGGTTCACCTAAACTACAAACGATTTGGTCAGAAGAGAAGCTGTTCACAGGTGTATGTTAAAACGATACCGTCAAACAAGAATCGGTGTGTTTAAATTATAATCCATCAATATACCATATGCGAAATGATCGAGCTTGATAACGAACGGTCGGCTGCCCTTTTTGTGTAATGGTTTGAGTAAAGTAAGAATTCACCCAAACATTTACAAATGGTTTAAGTCATACGCAATTAGTTCAATGTAAAGTCGAATTATTTAATCCAGAGACAAATGGTTTAAGGCATACGCAAATGGTTCAATGCCATGTCGAATGATGTAATCGAAACTGACGTGGAGATACGACGAAACAAATAGTGCTGCGTGAAATAAAATGGTTTCGCATGACATACAATAGTTGGCGCAGAAACCACCAAAAATACAAGAGTGAAATGGAGAAGTCAAGACTGGAGTAGTCTAGTCTATGTAGGGTCTGGCTTTATGTTCCATATTTATGGGCCATATATAGGAATGTTTTTGTTGTTTTGGTTTTGGGTCCGGGGGACCCATTGGACTGGTCTCTGTATCTCAAAACCACAACATGTTTCACCCAGCTGCAGAGGCATCATTGTTTCAATGCCCTTGGAGATTAATTTCAACTTTTATTCGTGCATGTTTTGACTTTTTGGGGCAAAAAACAAGGGGGCAGGAGCAAAAGGGGAGGGAACTGAGGGGATGGAAAATGTTTTCCAACTTTCTTGTTGTAGTGAGGAGGGAAGCTTTGTGCCTCGCTTTCATGTCTTATAAACACACGTATAATGTTCAGGATGGCAGGAACGACCCCTCACTGGTAGCTGGAGAAATGACACATCAGTGAAATTAAGCAAAAAACTATTTATTTCTTTCAGAAATGAATTTCATTTCTGTTTCATTTTATGCCTGTCACGTGGAACGAGCGTAATGATTCCGTACATTCCTATGACATCAGGGAATTCTGACCGTACTTCTTTGATTGAATGTTACTTCAATACTTCAAACCTGGAGTACTGTACAGTACCGCAAATGATCCCCAACCGCAAATGATCCCGAGACCGCAAATGATCCCCAAAATGGACCGCAAATGATCCTCGACCGCAAGTGATCCCCAAAGTCGACCGCAAATGATCCCGAAAGAAAAACAGGAATGGCTTGGACTCAAGTTAGCGGATCATCGTGTCGATTTTATTATAATTACAATAAGTCAGGTTAAAAGCTAAATTTTACTTCTCAAATAAATATATGAATAAAAAATAAATGAAAAAAATCATTCAAGAGTAAAAACGAAGTAGGTAGGCAACACACGGCTTTTACCTCATGCTAAAATGCTGCTTGTTCCAATGACTTTTTTCCGGCTCTGGCGGGTAGATTATACCTCTGAGGAAAACGTTTTGACTGAGCAAATGTGATTTTTGCTGCTTATTTCATAGTGAG